AATAGAAAAGAAAAATACCTAGAAATTGATTGCGGATAAAAGTTAGAGGGGACAAATTAATTGTTTGCATGTAAGAACATCCAATGAGATTTTATCTAATGCGAAATTATAGGTATAACACAAGTTATGTCTTTTCTTTGAAATAAAAATTGCTTACGAGAAATCCTTGCTTATAAAATTTATCTCGAATGGCTAAGTAGTAATGACAAATTTATTTAATTAATCGTTACTCTAACCTTAAGATCGAATGGTTTTCCACATGTTTTTGTCAGGTGACAATGTCCTCTGTAAAAGAAAACACGATATTTTGCAAAATTTATTCTTGAAAAATGTACGGGTCAAAATCGTTTCGTTCTTGAGTTATTCTTGAACTTGGTTATCTGGTTTTTTTTATTTAAATACAATCAATTCTATGAAATTTTAATTTCTTTTTTAATACTTAGAATCTTTTTTTTTTTTTTTTTTTTTTCTCAAAAAAAATCAATCGTTAATGTGTTTATGTATGTAAATTTTAGTGAAAAAGTATTTGTGTGAAATTATATTACAACTGTCTCATTTTTAATATAAATTTTTTTATCTAAATGCGTACTTGAGCATGTTAGGTTTGAAAATAGTAAAGTTATTTTAAAACATTGTTCAACGTACTTAAAAAAAAATTTTTTTTAACAATCTCATTAACAAATACACCTAGAAATTTAAAATTATTTTGAAATGTTTTTTTAACATTGATCAACTACAACGTACAATATTTAAAAAATGCATACGTAAAATATTGAAAATTTTTGTTGATACCTCGCAAGGGTGCTTCACAAATAATGAGTTTAAATAAACTTTTCATTCTAGGAATAATGTAAAGTATTATTAAATGAAAGCATATAGTTTACAGTACACTTTGTTTTAATGTTATGATTTAAGTAGCTTTGTAGACCAACGCTTGAACGATATCAAAGAGGTAGGCACGATGGACAGTTAATATTAAGCTATTTTTGATAATATTGGAAAAAATACTAATTCCTTCTATCATCTTAAAATCAGATTGTCACTAGTCGTAAATATTTGTGATCGTCTCATTTTTTTACCAGTTACTTTATAATATACACTCTGTAATACTTAATATATATTAATATTAGTAATCATGTGTTAGGCTTTGTTTTAAGTAATCTTTTTACAATATTTGAATACTTTTTTATTAGTTTTAACTATAGTATAACATTTATTTTAATGTAACTAATCATTTTATCACTTTCTGTTTTATTTTTTTACCCTAAGACATAATGTTAATGAGTTGAAATCTCCTATTTTTTATGAACTCTTTTCGTTAACGAGTTCATAACGAACAAAGCAGTTGTAACTCTTTAAGAAAATAAGATAAGCAAAAATTAGAAAATGTATAACGAAACGTATCATCTGTAGATAAAAAAAAAATTAGTGTGAAAAATAATTTAAAATTAGCTGTACAAAGTTTACATTTTAATTAAGGTGGTAAACATAATATAAGGAATGTCGTGTATTTTGTTTTAGAATCTTATTCATCTTTGAGATAAGATAAAACCAATAGTTTGTAAAATCTTGTGTTAGGCTTACTGTACACATATTGAATTATAAAAAAGCTTATCGAATAGTAATCGCGTTATAAAAAAAAGAAACTAACTATTTGAAACATGAAATGTAAGTTGGCAGCAGATAAATAGAGGTAAACGCACGCAGCTGACGCACGATAATAAAACTTTTTTTGTAGCGTCCCCCAGCACTTCGTATTCTTTTTCGATTACGCATGTACTACCCCTAGAACGCTCAAATATTGAACCGCGTGCGGATGCCACATCTATGAGACCCAGCAACTAACTTAAACCATGAAACTTTAGAGGTTAAGGTCATGTAGGAGGTACAGTCAGCCTCCCTATCGCCCCAATAGCATACAGAACTACCGTTTGTCTTCCTCTATCTCTCTATAACTACCATACCTCAGCTCGACGTCCGAATCATCTGACGGTGCTACGTGCTTATGACCATCCTTGCGCCGATGTTCATTGGTTGTCTCCATAAGTTTGTGATTTTCACTAAGTATCTACACAGGGAGAAAGAAAGAGAGTTTCGAATGCTATCAGAACCGAGAGCGCGGCTTACTGCCAGGGATGAGGAAACATGGTAGACGAGCAAACAACCGACGAAGGCACCTCGCTCTTTGATACACGCTTTTGCGCGCATGCCTGGGTGTAGATCAATGCGTCGGAGTGTGTGTTTTCCGCGCACCAGCGCTTTGTCTCTTTCTGTGTAAACGTCCCTTCTCTCTGGTTTTTATAGTACATAGCTGTCCAGTAGGTGAAAATTCAATTGACGGGGTGGTTTTAAATTATTTATTGCTCGACCTACTTTCTCGCTAGTGTTGATATCTTGTTTCGTGCAGAGGAGAGTAGCTCTTGTCTCTGGGAATTATTACTTTTTTTTTTCACTGCTCTACCGATGACGTCTATGTGCATGTGCGACGATTTTTGTTTCCATTTAAATCTTGAAGACGTGTTGGTAAAAAAAAAATTTACTACAATATAGATTTTTTTTTTGTATAATCTTAAATTAAATGAAATTTTTTATTATGTAACTGTCTTCTACAAGAATATTAATTTGTATTGTGAATTTATTTAAGTTTAGAGTTTAATTAAGTCAAGAGAATACTTTAACAACAGTGTCTTTTATTATTAAAAATTAAAATATAACTTTTTTAACAAAATCGATATTATCTTGTTGACATTAATAATTAAATTAATACTTTGTTGGAAGCAAACAATAATTTTGAGCGTACTTATGTAAAAAAAAGATACTCATTT